GTTCTTCCAGAGGACCCAGGTTCAATTCCTAGCACCCACATGGTGGCTAACAACCATCTGTAACTCCAGTTTCCAGGGGATTAGACACCCTTTTCTGGCCTCTGTGAGCATTGCTTGCACGTGGTGATTTACATACCTGCAGGCAAAACACTCATACACAGAAAATAAAAAAAACCTTTAAATTAAAAAATACAAAATAAAACACAACAAAACAAAGCAAACAAAAATCTCCACTAACATTGCCAGGCCTACACTGTTTCCTAGCCCTTAAGTCTTATGTTTATTTTGCTGCTAACCCTGTTATATTTATTCACTTGTTTAAAATACACAATTACCTTGTTTTTCTTTGTTCTAATTACAACTTGTAAAACTCCATTCTTAGATAAATCCAACTCTAGACCTACATGTAAGCAGCACAAAATGGGCAGGAGAAAAACAAACAAAAAACAACCATACTGACTAGTTTCATTATGAATTCAAGACCATTAATCTCAGTGGATCTTTAGTTACTACTGCCTGGTTTACCTTATCTGACAAATGAAATTATTCTCATTCTCCTAAAGAACATTTCTAACTTCTTTCTTAGTCTTCTTGCTTGTTCCAACTCCCAACATCTCCTTCCACTCAATTCTAAGTTAATGGATTTGTTTCCTGTTTCAGTTTTCGGAAACAGTAATTAGATGAGTGTTTCCTCACTCTCCCACATCACTTACCCCTACCTGAATCTGCACCTGCTCTAGCCTGCCTCTCTTGTTTCCTGGCCTGGACCTTTCTTTAATTCTTTATGTTTCCAATTGTCCACTTAACATCTCAACTTGGAAGACCAACAGACTCAAACCTCACTCTTAATTCTTTACCCTGACATTTCCTGATGACCCAAAGTTCTGCTCAAAAACGTAAAACATCATCACTGATTCCTTTCTCTTTTACTCTGCATCTAGTATATCAGCAAATTCTGTTGGCTGTACATTAAGTTTCAACAACCAAGTCCTTGTCATAATCCAAACAACCAAAACCAGTAGTGCACTGTCTGAACTACTCTAACTATTTTCCCAGTAGTCACTCTGCTGCCTCTTTTGCAGGTACATTCTAACATCCAGTCTCCATACAGCATAATGGTGCCAGTGACCCTCTCAAAGCATGATTACAACATTTTACTCCATTGCTCCAAATTCTTACAAGGTCCTAAATGGTGTGATCTCTCACCTTGAACCTCATCTTTTACTACACCTTTTCCTTCCCGTCTTCCCCCAACCCAGCAGCATAGTCACAGTAGGAA